TGAAATGCTGTTAAACTTGTCCCAATAACTGATAGTATTTAACAGTAGTAGCTCCATCTAGTGTAATTGTATTATAATCATAAGAAATAAAAGAAAAATGTTAACAGTAAATCAGTTTTGTTTTGGACTGTCTAGATATAATTGAACCGGTGTTAAAATATTTAACACGTTTAAACAATCAACATGTAATGTATGTTGGGTTTTAATGATATTTAAATCAATAAACTGGCCACTCTTTACTGGTGGTAGGACCTCTTGTAAGTACGCATGGGTAGGTACCTCCGCCCCGCTTATTTCTGCCGTAAAACAGTAATAAGTATCGGTTTGAAGGGTGGGGCAGCCGTTGTAACTACCTATATATACTGCGACCTTAGAATTCATATCTCAAGGTGGGTCGCGGCATTTACGTTGTAGATGTCTATGGGCTCCAGTGACCACTTAGCACCAGGTGGGCTGTGATCTAGTTCAACCAACTAAACAATTTAAAAAAATATATATATAAATGATTTGAATGTGTTGTTGGATTTATTATGCTTTATACTTTTTTTTATATATTAGCGTATATACTCGTATAGGTGACTTTCATATACTTTTCAACCTGAATTCTTTCAACCATCAATCCCATCCTTCCTGGCTAAGTCCATGCTCGCCCACCTGCCCTGGTGAAACTGGAACTGAAACTGGAATAGAACACTTAGTAAACACTAACACCGAACTCTAGTAGCTATTAATCATAAGGCAAACGGTAACAATGAGTAAGTACAGCGTCGCTTTCCTCTTGACATGCAATCGTTTGAAAATTAAACATTCTTACACTTTCATTCTCATTATGTTTCGTACAATGGAGGTTTGGTAATCGCTCGCATCGTAACGTACATAATATATGTATACATTAGTTATTGTTGTATAGGTGCGCCTTTGGGAATTCTGTATGTAGATTTATTCTTTGACAGAATTTGGATCTACCGAGATTTGTTAAAGAGATCTCTATGTAAGTAAGTAGTCCTTGTGTACAGAAAAGACGCCAGCTGCGGTTATGTCTATTTAAAATTTCGTGCAAATAAATAGACAGTTACTGGTGGTAGGACCTCTTGACAGTCCGCGCGGGTAGGTACCACCACCCTGTCTATTTCTGCCGTGAAGCAGTGATGCGTTTCGGTTTGAAGGATGGGGCACCCGTTGTAACCATATTGAGATCTTTAGAACTTATATCTCATGGTGGGTTGCGCATTTACGTTGTAGATGTCTATGGGCTCCAGTAACCACTTAACGCCAGGTGGGCTGTGAGCTCGTCCACCCAAATAAGCAATAAAAAAATTACATGAAAAAAAAACAACAGATGTGTTTAATTTATGTGCCGGAGAAATTATCTCTAACGACACACTCACAGTAATAGTAATTTCCTTAAGTTTGCGCGGATGGTGGGGAATAATTAAAACCACTTTTCCGGTTTAATCTTAGATGTGTGTAAACATAAACGCTATTTATTAGTTACTAGATGTTATATCAATGTGTAATTAGATAGACTAGTTGGTCCCGCAGTAGTCGAAATTCGACTATAATTAATTGAAATTATAAGTTTGTACACTATTATGGTTCTATTTTCAAAGACTATTATACTTCTATTATATAATCATAGACTTCGCCAAAAATACACTTTAGACAAATATTAATAAAGACAAACAATATTTATTCTATTCTCAATTTGACCATAGACATTAAGCAATAAGAAAAGTTTGACATTGAACAAATAGTATGCATGCGTGTGTATGTCAAATACATGGTAATGTGTGTAATGTTTTCTTTATTGATTTAATGTATCTTTTATGCATAATTAAAAAAATATTAACATTGTGCACTTCTTCTCTATATTCTCTATAAGTGTGGGAAATTTCATACTCCTCCGTCCGCGCAATTTTCGTAAAAAGGGATACTAAGTTTTTGCTTCACGTATTAATATATAGATAATAAGTTTTGAAGATTCATTTAAATGACTGTATGTAATTTCTTGAATAATTTAGAATCGAAACAAATTGGATTGTAGTTAATGACGTTGAAAGTCTTAAGTGATGGATTTTTCTAATACTTAACGCTTCAGTGGTGTTACTTGCTATTGATGCAGACAAATTTCGGTCCTTCTACAATCTGTGTTAGTCTACAACCTAACAGAATAAATGGAATGTACAAAGCGCGCGAAATGTAGGCATATGACCTCGTGCCCTTATGAACCTCGCTCTCTGAATGTAGAATGCAAAGCTAATGCTATCAGCTCAAATCTATTTACATTATATCAATGTTTTCTATTTTTAATTCTTAGTCGGACAGATGAATAAGCTGACAATGAGACATGAATATTCGACATTCAAAAGTAGGATTATTATTTTTATGTTTTGGGCGTTGAATCCCTCATAACCCAAAATAATATCCCAAGGGCCTTTTGCGTTGCATACAAGTATTTAGTGTAGGTAATAATATCCCAATGACAATTAAGGACCTTTTGCGTTGCATACAAGTATGTAGTGTAGGTACGCTACATCTTCAAACGTAACTTAAATGAGTTTTTTGAATTGGAGCCATGTACATGTACTTTGGGCATTCTGGGCGTAGACATTTCGAGTGTTGTCCAGTTTGGCGGTCATTTGGAGAGCAAGGCTAAAATGGCCTACAAAAAACTCGGAGTACTCAACAGGGCCAAACAGTACTTCAAGCCGGCTCACCGCCTTAAGCTGTATAAGGCGCAGGTGCGGCCTCACATGGAGTATTGTTGCCATCTTTAGGCCGGGGTTCCGGGTTATCAGCTATCTCCATTTGACCGAATCCAACGTAGGGCATCTCGGATTGTCGACGATCCTGAACTTGCCGATCGGCTAGATCCTTTGGCACTGCGTAGGGATCTATCTTCCCTATGCATACTTTACAGAATTTACAATGGGGAGTGTTCCGAGGAGTTGTTCAATTTAATAGAAGCCGCTGATTTTCGCAACCGATCGTCTCGTCGGAACTATCATCCGCACCATCTGGATGGTTGGCGTTCCAGTACAATGCGTTTTAAAAACAGTTTTCTGCCACGCACAGTAAATCTCTGGAATTCGTTGCCATCAGCGGTCTTCCCCAACAACTGCGACATTGGGTTTTTCAAGAAAAGAGCATATTCTTATCTGAAGGGTAGGCAACGCACTGGCGTAAACGCTGGTGACCGTGGGCGGCGGTGAATCACTTACCATCAGGTGAACCGTCTTGCTCGTTTGCCTCTTAGTTGTTATAAAAAAAAAAAATGTACATCATAGTATACGTATAGTCATCAGTTAAGATCTTTTTTAAAGTATGTATATGATTAAAGTGTGAAGCAAATGTGTGAATGGACACTAAATGTCCATATTGTGTGTGTTTCACTTCGAAAATCTTTTGTAACTTAGTTCTTTGTCCATAATCCATACCATCATGGATTTGGTTTTTTCAGTAGTGTCACACCCATTTTATGGAGATCCCAATGATGATTTCTGTCTTATACTTATTCTAGTAGCCGTTTTTATGTTTATTCATCCGCAATCAAGGGCCTTTTATTGATCTAGAAAATGTTAAGTTTTAGAAAAATATTTAGAGTTTAAAATATCTGTATTAAATTTAACTTGGTATAAATATTGGTATATGACGAGCAAGCGACTTAAATTGAAGTTGAACATTCTGATGAATATGTAAATGAATCAGGCTGCACCCATTGTTGAAACGCAGACCGTGGGCGAAATATTTGTCCTCTCTCAGACAGGAAGTCCGATAGTGACTTCGAATTTTGTTTAATTTATGTTGAAAGTGGTGTTTAAGTTGAGTGGGCGAATACTTTAATAAGTTGAGTTAAAGATCTTCCACCAAGCAGGTAGTATAGACTAAAAACCATTATGGAAACATTCATATAGAAGAAGAAATGTGTTAATTTGTTAATAGTAGATTCATTTTAGTGGTGAATGAAATTATTGCAGAATGGCTTGCGGATGACATATCTGTCCTGGTAACAAAGAAGATGTGTCGGAAGCCCACTTAAAACTGGTAGCTTGACTTACAATAAAATTAATTACGCATGCAAAAAACGAGGTGAAATACGCTTGGTTTTCGGGGTTTTCAACCTCAGTCTGTCGAAGTTAAAGTGCTTTCTTTTGAAATATGGCTCGTTATATTTGAGGCATGATTGTGAGTACAAAACTGCGCGGTAGATTATAGAGACTGACCAAATAAACGCTGCTCTAAATGGGTCAACGAGGAGCACAAGAAAGACCGCGGTACGTGAGGAATGGCGACGTCTTATAAAGGGCAGTGCCACCCGAATTGATGACCACGAGCATTCTGCCAAAAGTGCAAACGACTAACAAAAATATTTATGATAATTTAAACGAAATGTCACATTCTCTATTGATCTTTCAATACATTTTAATTAAGTCGGAATTTGCGATATATCATTGTGAAAGTAGCCCTCGAGTAATGACCATACTCGATGTAAAATATGTTCGTTTCCCTGTCAATTATCTTCATGTTCCATTGATACTCAGGTTTTACTGTGTTTGGTGTTAGAAATGCTGTTTTCGTTTGTCTTAGTCATGAACGGCTAGTTGGGATTAATCCGATTGTGTTTGAAACTAAATTCCGTATTTTTTATTATTATTTATCATCACTGATGGCGGTGGCCATTCACGCTGGCGTTAGTCGAATAGCTGTTATTAATTATTGATACAAAGATGTCTCTAATAATAAAACTTTTAAAAAAATCATCGCATTTACGTCAATCGACTTACCTTCAACCTTAGAACTTATATTTCAAGGTGCATGGCGCATTAACAGTGTAGATGTCTATGGGCTCCAGTAACCACTTAACATCAGGTGGGACGTGGGCTCGTCCACCAATCTAAGAATTAAAAAAAAAAATCGAACGCAAAGACATGACGCATTCCAGCGATTTTTTAATGTTAAATATATGTTTCGGTTTTAAATAAAAAATATGCTATCTGCAGGAGGAGTTGGACCTGACAGCAGTTAACAAGGCCGCGATGATGGCGCTACCGGCTGCCAAGAAATGGCAGATCTACTGCAGTCGTAGGCCGCCACCGGGCCAGGCGCCTCCACTGGCCACCGCACCACAAGTCGAGGAGTACATCAAGGCTCTTAACGAGATCGCTGATGTACGTTTGCCTGTCAACATCATCCTTTCAACGATCTATAAGTTTTTCGGAAACCAATCTTGGTCATATTCTAGTCAGATGATGCATTTTTTCTTCTTCTTATTGTAAGCCAAAAATCGACCGACGATGTTGTTAACTGAATGAGGATGGATTCAATTGGAATTGTACAACCAGTCTTCATGGATATTGTTATAAAAAAATATTTTTTCGCACTAATGCGTTGGTCATGTTCCTTATGATGTCCAGATTTTTATAGTGACATGTTACTCAGGAAGTTGATATTTTCTCTAAAGGCATTTGCGTCGTCTGAAGGCGTCCCCCCGACGGAATCCTGCGGCCTACTCGAGGGCCTGAAGACAGCGCTCAGGACGAGGGCTCACAGCTTCGTCCTCCGGTTTATCAAGCAAGGAGGACTCGGTGCCATATTGGACGCGTTGCAGAAGGCGCCCAGGGACGATGCTGTCACGAGACATAACCTTATAGCTGCCATAAAAGCCTTGATGAATAATTCGGTGAGTTGGTTAATTTCAGTTGGCATTATTAATTGCAGGAGGCCAATTTTACCATGATGGTCCTAGGAGAAAAATGAGGAAAGCTGACTCCGCTACCATGTGTGATTGATAGCTGGAAAGAGAGAGTGGAGAGTGGATCAAGGACTCATGATAATACAATAGTTTTACTAGTTTGGCCTAATGTTTTGAATGGAACCGTAAGTATTATTGTAGTTTTGAAACTGTATTTATCATTGTCATTCCAGACTGGTCGTGCTCATGTATTAGCTCATCCCACGAGCATCGATCTGATCGCTCAGTCCTTGGACACGGAGAACGTGAAGACGAAAGTCGCAGCACTTGAGATACTCGGCGCTGTATGTCTTGTCCCCGGGGGACATAAAAAGGTAATAATGACATTCATAGTTATTCTTCTGTATAATTTACCTTCTGTATAATGGTTATTCGTGTAGATGCTTACAAACAAAAACTTGGACTAAAGCCTTCGTCAAACAGAACGCGTACTTAGCGCGCGTCAGAGCGCTAAACTAACGCCGCGCTATGACGCCGATATGTATTGTACTACTACGGTATTATACCGTCAAACAGAGCGCCAGCGCTATGAGCGCTATAGCGCTGGCGCTCTGTTTGACGGTATGTTACCGTAGTAGTACAACACATCTCGGCGTCATAGCGTAGCGCTCTGACGCGCGCTAATTACGCGTTCTGTTTGACGAAGCCTTAAGTTAATGACGGTTGGTATTAGTATTTTGCCTATTTCTGCTGCAACTGGCATTAAGAATTTCGGGTTGTGGAGAGGGGATGGTCTTTTACGATACCCGCAAAATTATAAATTACTGGTGGTAGGACCTCTTGCGAGTCCGCGCGAGTAGGTACCACCGCCCCGCCTATTTCTGCCGTGAAGCAGTAATGCGTTTCGGTTTGACGGGTGGGGAAGCCGTTGTAACTATACTTGAGACCTTAGAACTTATATCTCAAGATGGGTGGCGCATTTACGTTATAGATGTCTATGGACTCCAGTAACCACTTAACATCAGGTGGGCTGTGAGCTCGTCCAATCATCTAAGCAATAAAAAACAATACATTTGGCACTCAAACCTCATGTTTCAAGATGGGTGGCGGTATTCACGTTATCATGTCTATGGGGTTCTCTAATCAATGAACACCAAATGGTCCGTGATTTCGTTTAGCCCCAAATGTCATAATATAACAATAAAAACTTTTTTGACATAATTTTTCCACATTTCAAGGTGCTAGAAGCGATGGTCAACTTCCAAAAGTATTCCGGCGAGAGGGCCCGCTTCCAGAGCATCGTCAACGAGCTGGACCGCAGCACCGGCGCCTACAGGGACGACCTCGGCCTGAAAACGGCCATCATGTCGCTCGTCAACGCCGTGCTCAACTACGGGCCCGGCGAGGAGAGCCTCGAGTTCAGGCTCCATCTGAGATACGAGCTGCTCATGCTGGGGCTTCAACCAGGTGAATACGAGTCTTACATGTACTAGTTGGACGCAGGCTTGAGACTTGAGACTTCGATCGCATGTCTCAAGTTGGAATTTATTTCGTCAAGTCTGTAGGGATCTTAGGGCCTGTGCACACCACGTTTTTTAAACGTGCTGTCGACGCGTCTTTGTAGCGATACAGAAGCGATACGCACGCAAGTCAGATGCAGCCTGTAGACCTTTGCACACTTGTATACATTCAAATACGCGTTTGAATCGATATAGACGCGATGCTAACGCGCGTTTGTATTGATACACATGCGCGTTGGCATCGCGTTTGTATCGATACAAACGACAAGAAACCGCTCTGTAGGATAAAAGCGCGCCATCGACGCGCGTTTGTATTGATACACATGCGCGTTGGCATCGCGTTTGTATCGATACAAACGACAAGAAACCGCTCTGTAGGATAAAAGCGCGCCATCGACGCGCGTTTGTATTGATACACATGCGCGTTGGCATCGCGTTTGTATCGATACAAACGACAAGAAACCGCTCTGTAGGATAAAAGCGCGCCATCGATGCAAGTTTGTATTGATACACATGCGGGTTGGCATCGCGTTTGTATCGATACAAACGACAAGAAACCGCTCTGTAGGATAAAAGCGCGCCATCGACGCGCGTTTGTATTGATACACATGCGCGTTGGCATCGCGTTTGTATCGATACAAACGACAAGAAACCGCTCTGTAGGATAAAAGCGCGCCATCGACGCAAGTTTGTATTGATACACATGCGGGTTGGCATCGCGTTTGTATCGATACAAACGACAAGAAACCGCTCTGTAGGATAAAAGCGCGCCATCGACGCGCGTTTGTATTGATACACATGCGCGTTGGCATCGCGTTTGTATCGATACAAACTACAAGAAACCGCTCTGTAGGATAAAAGCGCGCCATCGACGCAAGTTTCTAAAACGCGCGTCGACGGCGCCTTTAAAAAACGTGGTGTGCACATGCCCTTAAATATCTGAACTGCTCTTACTAGGGCTGGTATTAGCAAATTCTCTCCCAGTGAATAGTTAGGGGAAAAATAATACCGGAAAGGCCCATAAACGTTCTACATAACATTTAATTGAAATAAATAATAGTTTAAAAAAACGAACAAAATACTCTTTTATAAAAAATTCTAAAAAATGTTGCGCGGGGTGCTTTTCAGGATTTTATCAAAATAACCCTTCTACTCATATCTGTTCATTAAATATTTATTACTACTGATACCATGCAGCCCATGCTTTTTTTTACAATATAATCATTTTTTCTTACACTATTTTTAATTAAAATTGATTAAAAATTATTTTCTATTTTTTACTTGGATTTTCTATAAAAGCATATTTTGTTAGTTTTTTTTAAACTATTATTTAGTTTTTATTTTTTTCATATTGAATTGTCATCGGTCCTTAATAAGTATATCAAATTTCGAGTTAATCTGACGTTTTGAAGGGGGTCAAAATCATGTTCAAAGGTTCCGTTACATACTATAACATACATACGGTCTGAAGCTAATAAAAACGTATTAAAATAGACGGTAGTTAGAACAAAAGGTATTCAAATGTCGACAAATAACACCTTAGTTCTCTGTGACTATGGACATTGTAAAGTATTCAAAACGTTGGAAATAATGCAATGACAATAAAAATCATGAGATCAATCGGTAACAGTACCTTTGATTATCATATGTCCACAAGTCGCAAAAACCGAAAAGCATATTATTACATTAGATTTGTGGTTACTAAAATATAATTGTGTCCTTTTTTCTATTTGCTATAACCTAATGTCGACACCCTAAGAACGTTGTGGTCCTTAAATTTGATAGCGCACTGATTGCTTCATAATCTGTACTCTATATAGCTATGATTCGTTGTTAGGAGGACATTAGGAGAGTTTTGGCGTCGTGGTGGTAAAGTGTGATTGTATGCGCTGCTGAATGTGGCGTACACAACTTGAGGTTTAGATAGGAAGAAATCACTGATAGTCAAAGAATATCCGTTTATTATATACTTCGCTAACAAGTAACTAATTCTATTTATGTATGCCGATGTGGTGAGTACCGCTGTATATGAGCGCTGAACGTGTACTAGCGCTTTTTACTGCGGTTTGAGTAAAGCGATGTAAAAGTGCTGATGTGAATGCGCGCCTGTCCTGTGTGATTAGTGCGAGTTTTTTTACGTTCTCGATAGCGTAAAAGTTAGCTCATATTTGTATGGAATGGAATCGTTTGCCTACGTTTGCCGCTAGGGGCGCTGTTCCAACTGCATACAAAATTGGGTTAACTTTGACGCTATCGAGAACGTTAAAGAGCTCGCACTAAGCACACTGTACGATACATGACTCGTACAGTGATGTTAGCGAAACGTAACCGCTATATTGTGTTTAATATAGACCTTTTCAATTACAGTGATCGAAAAACTCCGCAAATACGAAAACGAGACGCTGGACCGGCACATCGAGTTCTTCGAGATGGTCCGCGGCGAGGACGAGCGCGAGCTGGCGCGGCGCTTCGACCGCGAGCACGTGGACACCAAGAGCGCCTCCGCCATGTTCGAGCTGCTGCGCCGCAAGCTGGGCCACTCCGCCGCCTACCCGCACCTGCTGTCCCTGCTGCAACACCTGCTGCTGCTGCCGCGTGAGTCACTACACCAAGCACATACACCAGCCACTTTATCACTGATGGTAGGACCTCTTGTGAGTCCGCGCGGGTAGGTACCACCGCCCTGCCTATTTCTGTCGTGAAGCAGTAATGCGTTTCGGTTCGAAGGGCGGGGCAGCCGTTGTAACTATACCAAGATCTAAGAACTTATATCTCAAAGTGGGTGGCGTATTTACGTTGTAGATGTCTATGGGCTCCAGTAACCACTTTACACCAGGTGGGCTGTGAGCTCGTCCACACATGCAAGCAATAAAAACAAAATCACGCGTCGCGATTCCGATACAGTAGTAGATTCATTCGCGAAGCAGCTGCTCTTGAGTTGTTAGGTCTCCTTCGGAGGCGCTCGGGCAGCTGTTAGCAAATCCTGCCCCTCCTGGCTGAGCCTTTGCTCGCCAATCTGTCCTGGTGAAATTGGAAAGGCCACCGGGCACCAGTAATACTTCGATCATAAAAAAAACCGCAGTGCCTCAAGACAAAAGTCTTTGACCAGTGTGAGTTGTCGGTAATGACGTACGACAGTCAGACGAGGTCGTGGATAATGGGTTTTATGAAAAAACTCAATTTGCCCTATAATCCTTCAATCATTAAAAAAAAGATCTCCGTGTTTTAAATGCTCAACTGAGATCAGCATTTAGGTTCCAGAAAACTTATTGTTCTCAAGGCATCACATTAACAATTAAGTTTTTTATTTCGAACTAGCTGACCCGGCAGACTTCATAGTACCTCAATCGATAAATAAAAGACTTAAACTTTTATATAAAATAAACTTAAAACAAACAAAAGGAATCCGTCCGACGTTGGACACATCAAAGGAAAAACAAAATTGTTATTTTTATTTAATTCCGAGCATTTTCATATTTATCTACATTTTAAGCCTACTCTGGACTTCCACAAATAATTCAAGACCAAAATTAGCCAAATCGGTCCTGCCGTTCTCGAGTTTTAGCGAGACTAACGAACAGCAATTCATTGTTATATATCGACGCTTGAAAGGCAAACGTGACTAAGCGACAATAACTGTTTTATACATAAATGATAGGCAATAACCATATTCGATGCGCAAAATATATATATTTCTAGGTTTATTAAAATCATTTCAATCCTACAGCTCTCTCTCTCTCCTTCATCGCTTCCTCATTCCTGAGGGTTGTGACCACCTTGGTTCAGTTTTTGCACAGCTTCCTCCAATGTTGCCTGCATTCCTGTGCTTAATGGTGCCCGGGAAGCTGGTTCACGCATTGTAGCTTAGTCACATTTGCCTTTCAAGCGTCGATATTTAGATTACAAGGATTAGGAGAGTGAAAGGTCGTATATCGTTTCCACAGTGGAGTACGGCCCGCAGTCCCAGCACTGGCTGTTGCTGGACCGTGTGGTGCAGCAGGTGGTGCTGCAGCAGCCGGCGGCGGGGGCGCGCGCCGACAGCGAGCAGGGCAGCGAGGGCGGCAGCACCAGCGACCAGACCAGGGTTCTTAACCTCTTCAAATATCATTATTTCCCAGTCATGAGGATCATGTAACTCTTCGTATCCAAATAGCGCACAGTGTAGTCAAATCATACAGTTATCTGTGACATAAACATTTGGTATTCAGTTTTAGTCGGTAGATTTGTATTAAAGAACACCGCTTTTAAAACTTAAAATATAGTCTGTAGCTTGGTTGTATTAAGGTCCACTCTACAAACGATAAAGGATTTGGAAGTGACTAAATGTTCCATTTATAAAATCAAATCAATCAAATCAGAGTTTAGTACGTTTTACATTGCTGGCTAATAGGTAACATCAATAAAAGTTTGTTCTCTTGGATGAAACGATTGAGAGATTTCTCGAATCTGTTTACAGATATACGATCCGGACGTGGCTCCCCTCGAGATAAACGTCGGCGAGATAGTGCATTTGCTCGCCAAGGAGGAAGAGCTCGTCGCCGCCAGGACCAAGGCCGAGAATCTGGAACGGGAGAACATCGACCTGGCCACAGAGCTGGCTAAGAAGGTACGTCAGGACGACGCAGCCAATATCTCGGTTATGGTCACATTCACTATTCGAACTTAACCAAATAACTTTTGGTATGGAAATGTTTAGGTTTGATCATCTCACTCATAAAATACATTTAATGAAAAGCGTTTTTGGATGCTTTGTGATATTTTAAAACTTTTATTGGTGGCATTCATCGAATTGATAAATTGCATGACTAAAGTCAAGAGTCCAAGTATATATTATCATGTTCATTTGAATTTATTGCAATAATTATATTTAAATATTATATATATTACATTAAAATGGTACGGTACGGCTCGTTTCTGGGATTGTATGTTGCAATTCGATCGTGGAGATATCACTCGTTTATTTTATAAATACCTTTTTTTTTAAAAGAATTCTCTTAATTGAAAAGAGGGTCTTTAAAAAAAATTATATAGTTCAGTTTGAAGGCGAATAAAAATATCGGTATTTGTCTTATGCAGTGGCGGATTAAAGGTCCGGAGCATCCTAGGAAATCACTTTATCGGCGCCCCTGTACCGGTCATAAATGGCCATCATAATACTATAAAATTTAATTAGTTGTTTTTGCAATTACGATGACATTATATCATCAAACTCTAGACTTTAGTAGACCAGGACCCTTGTACTTACTCTAATGCGCGAATGAAATACAAACAAACCCGCAATATTGCATAATACGAGTATATCAATGCTTGGGTAATACCTAGTCAGGTCATAAATTCTGTCACATGTTTAATGTAAAATAATTGAAACAAGTTTATTCATTATATAACCATTCATATACCAAAATTAACTTAACAAAACATAGATTCTTATGACACTAAAGTTTATTCAAAATGACCTCCGTGATTTTGAATACAGGCCTTCAATCTGCGCGGCCAGTCGTCTATCGCAGCACGAACGAGGTCCATGTCAATATCGGCGGCTGCCTTAATCAAGGATGTCTTGAGTGACTCCAAATTGGGATGAGGCTTTGAGCACGCCTTTTCCTCCAAGTGTTGCCATATCTTGTAATCTAACGGATTCAAATCTGGACTGGAGGAGGGCCAGTCTTCGTGCCGGATGAAGTCGATTTCACGCGCCGCCAGCCAGTCTTGTGTGCTCTTCGCTCTATGAGCTGGCGCCGAATCTTGTTGGAATACCCAGTGCCTGTTATTGAACATGGTATGAGAAACAGGTTCCACAAGGTTCGTCAGGACTGTATTTTGATACACAACTGCATTCGTTTTTACACCTTTCTCACAAAAATGTACCTCTGTTAAGCCCCAATAAGAAACTCCCAACCATACCATGAGCGAGGATGGAAAATGACCTCGTTGGACACGCGGAATACGGTTGCTCGCTTCTTCACTACTGTGTGCGTACACCTTATCATTTTGTTTGTTGTAGCTCTCTTCTACGGTAAAAATTTTTTCATCCGAAAAAAGAATTTCCCGATATTTTTTTCCCGCGTACCGCTTCAACAAAGCGCGGCATCTCTTCAGTCTCAGGTCCATTAGACGAGCATTCAAACGATGTCCTGTTTTTCTTCGATATGCCCGAAGCCCTAAGTCTTCATTTAACACCCTTTTCACCGTGGTTCTGCTTAACCCCATCTGAAGGGCCAACAGTTTCTGCTTACGTTTGGGATTTCTTTGAATTCGCGCCTTCACAGCTTTTATCACTGCTGGAGGCCTAACAGACCGAGGGCGACCACTTCTTGACCTGTCATCTACACTAGAGTCTTCATTGTATCGTTTGATGGTACGATAAACGAATCTTTTGGTTATATTAAATTTTTTCAGTATGTTAAAAATTTGAATTGTCGCGTAACCGCAACGATACAACTCAATAACTGCAACACGGTCTTCTTTAAGCGTCCACTCCATATTTAAAAATGAGTAAAATTCTAAAAGTATACATTTTTATTTTCATGAACAATTCGAAATTCGAATTCAATAAACTTTTTTGTGGCCAGCATTATAAAAGAAAAGTTTTTACTGTGTGACAATACTTATGACCTGACTAGTTATAATCTATTATAGATCAGCATTTAGTCCTTAATCTTATTTATTTAAAAATTCTGAGCTCGCGCGCCCTTATGTACGTGCCTAGTTTGCCTTACGGATAATCCGCCTCTGGCCTTATGAGATTTTTTGTGATTACGCAAATAAGAGTGATATCGCGCGGGAGTATCAAAAGACGCGTAGTTTTGGTTCGTCGTTTATGAACGTTCGTAACGTGCGTACCGTCCCGGAGCGTGTACTGACGCGGGTGGGGCGCGGGCAGGAGAAGCAGCTGGACGAGCGCGCGCAGGAGCGCGAGGAGCTGGAGGGCGCCGCGGCGCGCCTGCGGGACCGCCTGGAGCGCGAGACGGCCGCGCACATGCACTGCGCCGACCTGGCGCGCGCCGCCGCCGCACGCGCGCAGCTGCTCGACTGCCAGGTTCATACATTAAACCATAAACGCGACTGCCCTCCGAGGCCTTTTGAACTTGAATGATGCTATTTCGGTACGATCAACTTTTTTTTTCCTACCTATGAGAGAGGTTATTTCGGCTTCGCCCTAACGTGTGTAGGTGAGCTCACGGGGCTCAAACCGGAGTGTTGCTAACACTGGCCCTAGCAAGAGCCGTGCTTCGCAGAATCTACCACTGGATCGGAAACGCGACCCACTGTGAAGATCCGGCGAGAAACTCAGCGGGCTGTGTCTATGAGTTAAATGACGACCATACAGCGCCCGTCGTTAAATATTGCACATCAACTCTTGGAACCTCTTCTTCTTCTTCTTCTTCTTCTTAGTCGCATACTTCATTGCTGAAGGTCGCGTCCCTGAAAGCCCTTTGTGGCTCTTTGCACTATCAGCTTCCATTTCCTTCGGTTTTCAGCTTCCCTCAGGGCGGTCACAACAGAGAGTCCAGTGAGCGCAATTATCTGATTTGACCAACGGTTTGGTGGCCGGCCGGCGGGTCTTTTCCGTTCTACCTTGCCCACCACAGTCAATTTTTCAAGGTTATCTGGTGGCCGCCGAGCAATATGACCAAAGTAACCAAGAACATTCTGGTAGCAAATCGTCGACAGTCTCGTTTCTATACGAAGTTGCTCGAGGACAGATTTGTTTGTTCTCTTGGTGGTCCACGGTATGCGGAGCATTCTTCGCCAACACCACATCTCAAACAATTCTATTTTTTTCCGAACCTCTACGAAGCCGAAATTAGCCGATTGTCTCTTCCCAAGGGTCGACGTGCAATATTTATTGTCGGGGACTGTACTTTGATATTTTTTTGTATTCGTGGGTTAAAATGGGTCGTTGACCCGCCACCTATGAACCTCATTTATTAACTAGCGTAAATCTCTCGCCTAAATAAAATTTATATAATAATATGTTTTTGAATTATTGTCGATTGTCAATTTCAAAGTTAAATTGATTCGTAATTTTATGCGATTGAAGTAAATAAAATAACAATTCCTTTGTCTCTTGTCGAACCTTCTATAATGAAATTGCATTCCAAATTGACGCTAACGTTTCTACTGATTTAAGAATCAACCGTAAAAGTGATGAATAAAAACAATATCGTACATCATTCTAGTTCAAATGCAAACACATTTAACATTCATTAATTCATTTTACTCATTTACGAATTAAACGGTTTAATGTTATAATAAAACACTTTATAATTTGTCACGGCTTAAAGAAACCGACAGCTTTATCACTTTGGGCGGCTTTTAGCGTATTTAAAATAACCATAATTGTTTTAAAGAGTTTTAATATTATCAGTAACATCATTACACACGTCCTTACATACGTACACACGACTAAACATAACATTGATATCCCAGTTCCAAAGAGTGATAAAGTCAGAAGATATTTTTGTGAGGGAGTAAGCGAGATCGTTTTCCCTATTTCTGTCGCGAAGCATTAACTCGATTCGATTTTATGGGTGGGGGTAAATAAAATTTAGATATTGACGTTGTGTTTTGAAGTGAGTAATGGTATTCATGTTGTTGATCTCCATGGCGCTCTGGTATACACTGAGCTGTTAGTTAGCTCGTTCACAGATACAGTGCAACAAAAAAAAACAATTATTATTAAAACAATTATTAAACCCAATTATTAAGTGTAATTAATTTAAGGGAAATTCAGTTTGATTTTTTAATCGTTCATGTAGGCAGATGAGTGTACGGTCCACCTGATGGTGAGTGGTTACCGTCGCCCATGGACCTCAGCAATGCCAGGGGCAGAGCCAAGCCGCTACCTAAGCTATTACTATTGCTAAGCTTGGCTATTGCTCGCCACTCACGATTTTCGATAAATAATATCAATTAGAAACAATTAAAAAGATAATTCGGCAAATGTATAGGCAGCCTTTGTATTATAAAATTGAGACTTAGAATTAATGTCTCAATGTGGGTGGCCGCATGTTCATATGTACATTGCTGATATCTACGGATTTCGGTAATCGCTTCAGAAAGAAAATATCGGCATTGGGTAATGTGAGCAAAAAAAGAATAATACAAAAACATACGAAAACGAACTAAATTAACAATATTGTCTAATGAAGTATGTTTGTTTGTTGTAGGATCATATAAAACGTGTTTTTGGGTTTACAATAATTTATTTTAAATTCGCCAAATCTATTTCTTTTATTGATATTTTTATAACCTCTGCAGGCTAATTTAAACTAAACATAACAAGCGCATTGATAGAAATTGCTTTTATTTTACCTTGATTTAGCCGCAGAGTATTGAGGGTTGATAGGACTTATAGATACTCTTTGTTAGATGTAATTCAGAGATGTCCCAATATGCAGTGAGCGTCGGTTTTTTTTTCAATCCAGATCTTGATTCCGGTCTAAACCGAACTCCTTCTTGAACACCCTTCAAGTGTTGCCAGACCGTAATCTTAGGCCCCCGCCGTTCAAGGGTTGCCAGACTGAGATTTCGAAAATTCTTGTGATGTAACTCACTGAAGGTTTCTCCTAAAATGTGTTGCAAACGCGTACAGAATAACATAATATGATGTCAGTCTTTGTTATTAATTAAAATTAAAATTAATTTTCGACTCATCGGCTTTTCGTTTCGGGAAAACATGGATGGTAATTTTAATGCATCAATGTCTCATAATTTCAATAAATTTCCGACTTTATGCTCTTTGGAACTGAGGTGCTTGTGTAATGAACGGCTCCGATCGTTTACATTATTGTGTCGTGACCCGCAGTTGACCCAAGAGAGAACCGAGAGAGCGAGATTTGAAAAACTAGTCAGCGAGGGAAGCATACCTGATGATGCTAAGGTAATTTGAAACGTTCAGAATGTGAAGATTTTTAATGTTCCAATAATAATGGTGGGGATTTTTATAGGACATAAAGGTTTAGAGCACGCTGTACGGGCCGGTATCGTTTGATGCTTGAGTAGGATAGCTCATTTAAAATCGTTATTTAGACCTCATGTTTTCAGAACGCGTCGGTGACTAGGCCACACAGTTCTTGAGATAATTAGCTCACGCTAAGACAAGAAACTTTTTACTGGTGGTATTTAGTGGTAGTATACCTCTATGAGTCCGCACGGGTAGGTACCACCACCTTGCCTATTTCTACCGTGAGGCTCTAATGCGTTTCGGTTTGAAGGGTACAGCCAGCAATTGTAACCATGTTGAGACTTTAGAACTTATATTTCAAAGTGGGTGGCGCATTTACGTTGTAGATGTCTATGGGCTTTAGTAATCACTTAACATCAGGTGGGCTGTGAGCTCGTCCACCCATCTAAGTAATAAAAAAAAGAAAATAAGTTTATAAACTTTTCCATGAAAATGATTGGGCTGTATTTTTCTTTGTTTTACCACATTACTTGTATTACAGGTGAACAATCTGAAGAACGCGGTGATCGAAACGTCATCGGTACCTCCCCCTCCTCCGCCGCCGTCAATGTTCCCCGCGCCCCCCGCCGTGCCGGCTCCTCCCCCCGCGCCGCTCGCGCCTCTCGCCCCCCTGGCGCCGCTCGCCCCCGCCCCTCCCAAGCCCAAGAAGAACGTCCCCACTCCCGGGAACCCGCTCAAGAGCTTCAACTGGAGTAAATTACCTGATACCAAGCTGCACGGCACGATATGGCAGGAGCTGGACGACACGAAGCTGTACAACGCGATGGATCTGCACACCATCGACAAGATGTTCTGTGCCTACCAGAAGAATGGCGTCCAGGTTAGTGAAGATGCGAGATCACCCGAGTGGTGATGTGTGTGACTTTAGAGGCATTAACCATTGGAGCGCGAACCGTCGATAAATCGACTCTCGGTTGCAGAGTAAAACGCGGAGCTTCGGAATACCGACTTTTGCACAGTTTGATTACAGGTATTAGGTATCAACCTGCACGGTCGTGTCTTATCGCGCGTACATATAAAGTTTTTAATAAGATAATGACGTTTGTAAATAGTTAAAATTATTTTACTGTGAATTTAGAAAATCCTTTGAGAAATTTCTGCAAGATATATGAAAATAAGCTCAGCCCTAAAAGGGGTGTCACACAAAAATAGCCTGTTGAAGTGAAAACTTATTTAATTCACAGATGTTGTTTGAAACTTGATGAAACGTAAAAACGACACTAAAAAGAGACAAACGTATACGTATGTGTTGAATGTCCTACGTTAAAATGAGATAGAACTCTTTTGGAGGTTTCACGTCTACCGCCTGTGAATTGGATTGTCCTTTTCTCTTTTTATTTCTGGTCTTATTACCTTTATTACCCGGTCTTATTACCATGGTCCCGTGCCTTACAGAACGAGGGGTCCGTCGAGGACCTCCGCCAGCTCGGGTCGAAGCCCAGGACGAAGATACTGTCCGTGATAGACGGCCGCCGCGCCCAGAACTGCACCATCCTGCTGTCCAAACTTAAAATGACCGATGAGGAGATTTGCAGGTAAAATTTATACGATTATTATATAAACTATAATGTAAAGAAGATGTTTGCTCTGTCGGAAAAGGTGATGTGAAATGTTAATAAAGTCTCTCTTATGTTTCTTTAATCTCTCTTTATTTTTTGCATGTATTTATATATTTTTAAATCGTTTGTTGTAAATTGTGAAACTTTTGTTATTGTTTAAAGTTTGTGGTCAAATAATAGATTATAATTGATTAATATTGTTTTTATTGGTAGGTCGCGTGTTGTGGTAGGCCTCGTGTTATAGTAGACCTCGTGTTGTAGTAGGCCTCGCGTTATAGTGGGCCTCGCGTTATAGTGGGCCTCGCGTTGTAGTAGATCTGCGTTATAGTGGGCCTCGCGTTGTAGTGGGCCTCGCGTTATAGTAGGCCTCGCGTTATAGTGGGCATCGCGTTATAGTACGTAGCAAAAGACTAGCTATTGGCCCACCTGATGGTGAGTGGTTACCGTCGCCCATGGACTTCAGCAATGCCAGGGGCAGAGCCAAGCCGCTGCCTACCTTGGCATATAACGCTAATTCATTTACGTAAAAAAGAAAATATTTTTGAATAATAGACTGTTAAGGAGCTATTTAAAGTACCAAAATCACGCTGCTTAACCGACTTCAAAACCTCTTTCTTCAACTTATCATTCTACCATAATTTTTTTATCTATGTATGTTCACCGATTTCTCGACAGTGCTTGAACCGATTCTGAAAATTCTTTTCTTTTTTTTTTTGTTCGAAAGGGTAGACTTCTCGAATGATCCCGTAATCATCAAGATTTGATGATGGGATCCTGGAGAAATCCAGAAAAATCTATAATTGTGAAAGCCTATTTTGAAGAGATTTGTTTGTTTCAATGTCGTAATGAATAACGTATTTATTTGGATAGGGATTAATATCATCTTTATAAAAACACCTTCACAAATTATAATAGTTTATTTTAGAACAAATTTGGCTAGTATAAAAAACGTTATAGTGAGCCAACCTTAATATAATTATAGACATAATAATATGCTGTCGCGGACTTTTTTTTAGAACTTTTAAAGGGGAACAATTTTTTCATACATTATTTTAGCTAAACTTTAACCGTTTCCGCAGTGCACGGAGCAGAAACTCTCAAAAGGGAATAATACCCCGATTTTGAAATTTTTTTTATTAGTGCTCCGCTTGTACTGGTCTTAGTGTGATGTTATATAGCCTATAGTCTTCCTCAATAAATGAGTTATCTGACACTGAAAGATTTTTTCAAATCGGACCAGTAGTTTCTGAGATTAGCGCGTTCAAACAAACAAACAAACTCTTCAGCTTTATAATATTAGTATATAAGAAGATATATGGCATTCGATGAATTAAGAAGCGTTGTGAAATTGTTTTTTGTGTAATAATTTTATGATATTTAATTGTAATTGTAATAAAGTGTACTTTCAAAGTTATTTCTTTGTTGTGCACTGCAAAATATTGAAGATTAAAATCTTTAAAAAAAATTAGATTAATCTGCTACTACCCAAACTAGGATTCTCTGTAGTATGGAAACTAGAGACTGATATAAGTAATTTTATACGTTTAGATATATACATAAATAGATATGTTCATCACACGAATGATAGCAATGATTCTATAATAATTATTGAATCTTTTAAAATTTCCCACAGAGCGATCCTCAAAATGGACAGCGGCGAACAACTGCCCATCGATATGTTGGAGCAACTCCTGAAGTTCACGCCGAGCGCCGAGGAGGCCGCCATGCTAGAAGAGCACCAAGATGAACTGGACAGCATGGCGAGGGCGGATCGCTTCCTCTACGAGATCTCCAAGTGAGTGTAGTTGCAGGTGTGGGGTACCTCTGAACTATGTTGCATCACTGACTCGGAGTTAATGTAGGATTTGACTTATTGGTTCTCTGTCGTCTAGTGTGGGCTTAATTGCCTTCCGCAGGTCGCACCGTGACGTCACAACCTAAGGTGCCCTGGTCATTCGATCGTCCATTACAAAAAAGTTTCAGCCTATACCTGCGTCGCGTCACAAAGTAGTGTTCCTATTGCTTAAATGGAAGAGATCGGACGTGATCTCGTTGCTACCCTCCTGGTCTCAAATGATAACCGGGGCCTACAGATATCGACAACGTAAATGCCGCTGCTCACCTTGACACTTTTGAAAGTCTCAGCTCTATAGTACTACGGCAGCCCTACCTTTTAGACCGAACCTCATCGCGGCAGAATGGTGGTAGCACCAACTCGTGCAGTCTCACAAGACGCTCTACCGCCAATAATTACGCAAACTATAATTTGTTTGAAGTTGCCACCCTGCCTATTTCTACCGTGAAGCAGTAATGCGTTTCGGTTTGAAGGGTGGGCTAGCCGTTGTAACTAACTTGAGACCTTAGAACTTATATCTCAAGGTGGGTAGCGCATTTACGTTGTAGATGTCTATGGGCTCCAGTAACCACTTAATACCAGGTGGGCTGTGAGACCGTCCACCCGTCTAAGCAGTAACAAAAAAAGTGGACTTTTATTACGCGGTGTCACTAATTCACTGTGGAAGTCCGGGCCGCGTCGCCTTCACATTGTAATGAAACCAGATCTTAGACAAACGAACGGTACCGCCCTCAGGATCCCGCACTACTCGATGCGGGTGCGCACGCTGCTGTTCAAGAAGCGGTTCGCGGCGGCGAGTGCGGAGGCGAGCGGGCGCGCCACCACCGTGCTGCGCGCCGCGCGGGACATGACGCGCTCGCGCCGCCTGCGCGCGCTGCTCGAGCTGGTGCTGGCGCTCGGGAACTACATGAACAGGTTTTTATTGAAGTTATACTACTTCTTTAGGCGCGTTATGAAAATTTTATGAGAGTTAAATTTTACGATGCGCGCGCACCGTGACACAAAATTAAAAGAAATGAAGTTATCCACTAAAGAAAGAATGCTACAAAACAGAAATGGAACCTCTGTTAGTGGCGCATGTTGGCACGCACGCCGCCTCTGTTCACTGTGTTACATAGTTGATAGACGTTCTCGTATTTCTCTTTTGCTAAATCGTACCTACCTGGCGTCGGGATACCGTGATCATGCAGGCGGATCCCCCGGGGTGTGGCCAATGGAGCCATCCATTGCACTGCGGAGTGGTTGATTCTTGCGATTATTTTTATATTTTATAAATTTCACTTCTTTCACACACACCGTATAGGCAGACGAGCATACGGCCCACCTGATGGTGAGTGGTTACCGTTGCTCCTGGACGTCAGCAATGCCAGGTGCAGAGCCAAGCCGCTGCCTACCGCTGAACGCTAACATATTGTGCGTCTCTCTCTAGGGGAGCCCGCGGCAACGCGTCAGGGTTCCGGCTCTCGTCACTGAACAAACTCGCCGACACCAAGTCCAGTGTTACAAGAAACACCACGCTCCTGCATTTCCTGGTCGAAATGTTGGAGACACAGGTGAGTGCTAATTGAAATGTTACGTATGTCATTGTTTATAACGAGGAGACGGTTTTAAAAGGTTCAGAGAGCTTTGCATAAGTACCTTAAAGCCATTACTCAAATCAGATTAGAACTTTTAAAACGAAAACATCTCTAGTACCGTTGTCCAATTCACAACACACTCGATGTAACTAATAGTATACTTCCCAACACGAATGCCGCTACCCACTGTAAGTCGTTACAGCAATGTTTCAATGTATTATTACGCGCTGGGGTTCGGGATAAATAAAGATTCTACCGAAGTACAAATTAAAATTGTATTAGCATTTGGAACACTTAAAACACTTCACAAATACTTTAAAATTCTCAATTCGCTTCTTCCGCTTCGCTTCAGGTGATCAGTTCGCTGTTTCGCTTCGAGTAGTTCCGATTACTAACTGAATGCCATCTCTGCAACGCTTTTATAGTCGATCCGACATCCCTAGAATTATCGAGAATATTCCACACAAGTCGAGTATTGTTTTTCCGCTATCTGACAATAGATGGCGTTGTACTTCTCGAACGTTCTAGATGCTACTAGATCCTTCGATATTCGTGCGCCTATTCGGCGATAGATGGCGTTACTCAAAACGGCGTAACAGTATTATATAACTCTTTCCTTCTGGAACCCATGGTTACTTTAGGACAGGAAGTAGGGGTATTCTAGTTAGCTCATATTAAGCCTCACCATTGTCCGTTTCTTAGTCGCTTTTTGTGTTAATTATATGGTCTGTATATTCAGTTCAAAGACATACTGCTGCTCGAGGAGGATTTACCGCACGTCCGAGCCGCGGCTAAGGTTTGCGTGGAACAACTGGAGAAGGATGTGGGTGCTTTGAGGAGTGGCCTCCGTGAAGTCGCGAAGGAGGTGGAGTACCACGCGTCGCTGCCCTCTCCGCAGCCCGGTGACGCCTTCCTACCAGTCATGAGGGAGTTCCATGCGCATGCTGTTTGTACCTTCACACAACTGGAAGATCTTTTCCAGGTAAGCCGATCATATGCATTGTGTTTTTTTTTTCTACTTATGCTGGTGACCTCGAGGGGTCATACTAGATTCACCGAGCGAGTAGGTAAGCTCACGTGGCTCTAACCAGAGGAAATATGCATTGTATGAACGGACAGTAGATGTAAACAGGAATGTCCGCTATTTTTTTATTTTTTTATTTTTTATTCACCGTAACTTATACTGACTCTCCTATCGAAGAAAATCTCTTCATAAGCTAGGTACGGTAGGCAGCGGCTTGTCTATGTCCCTGGTATTGTTGACGTCCATGGCGGATGGTAACCACTCACCATTAGTTGCGTCAAACGTTTGTCCGCCTACAATAGCACAAAAAAATTTAAGAATAAGCCAGTACGCCAAATTCAGTCAATACAATATGGATACATTTTATCGCAGCTGACCCGTGTCGGATAAGGGCAAAATTAAACACAAGTAATTTCTAGGACATGAAGAGTCGTCTCGAAGCATGCGCCCACGCCTTCGGTGAAGAGACAAGTGCGTCCCCGGAGCAACTGTTCGGCGCCATGGACGCGTTCCTCACGCAGCTCGCGGAGGCGCGCGCCGAGTGCGACGCCATCAGGAGGCGCCGCGACGACGAGCAGCGCCGGACCAGGCACGAGCAAGAGGTCAGTGGGGACCGGGGGTCAGTGGGGACCGGGCGTCAGAGGGGACCGGGCGTCAGTGGGGACCGGGCGTCAGTGGGGACCGGGCTGTCAGTGGGGACCGGGGGACAGTGGAGACCGGGGAGTCAACTGGGGAACTGGAGGCTGCAGCGTCAATGGTCTGTAGCGGGTAATAGCTGACGGAATCATCTATCATTTTTCTCAATGTAATTTTATCGAATGAATTGTAGAATTGGGATTGCGGCGCATAAAATAAAACTTCCGCTGTTCCAAAATCTTCTGTTATAATAATAATTAAAAATTAATTCGCACTTTTATTACGCATTTTTAACCATCTTCGCCATCTTCCTTCTTCTCTGTCATTCTGTGTGTCATTATCTTTTCCCTTTCTTACCATTTTCTCTCACTCACTTCTTAACGCTTCGTTTCACACTCTTTTCATTCGTTCCATTCTTACCAACACTACAGAATTTTGATTTTAATATATATTTTTTTCTTGCAGTTGAAAAAGCGTACAATGGAACGTAAGCAATCAAACTCGCTAGGCTCGGTGAGCAAATCCCTAGCGAAATCCAACGGGGATTGCAACGGACACTCCAACGATAGCTCCCGGGACGGCACCATGAGTAACGGACAAAAAGGAGAGTTCGATGACCTTATATCCGCATTACGAACAGGAGATGTCTTCGGAGATGACGTGGCCAAATTCAAAAGATCAAGAAAGACTTCCAAAGTCACTCAGAAGGGTCGCGACTCTCCTCCCAGGGGCGTGTGCAGGGAAGACTCTAGGGAGAGACAGAAGAATTGAGATTGACAGCAGTTATTGATGTGTCAAAGAACGTGAGTACGGCTCTATGCGTGAACGTTGCTTGTAAGTACAGAAATTTGTTACACCAACTTTTCTGTTACTAGAATCGACCACATGTTTGTCAATATTTCGAAATACCCTCAAATAAATAATTAGGCATTAAACTGTAAGTTTTGAAATAGTATACATGTACTTATTCGTCGATGCTAATTAAAGTTTGGGAACGGAGAGCCGATGACCGTCATACGTCGGAATATCGATTAGAATGACTGCTTTAAAATAATCGATTAGTATAATTGTAACAAGTGATATTTTCGAAGTAGATTAGTTTGGACGGTGATGGTGTGTACGTCACAAAATATTTAGAGATTTATACAGAATAAAAGATAGGACGTTTAATGTGCTAAATACCAATTAATTAGCGTGATCGCTTATATATTAAATCGATTAATAAATAATCGATATTAAATCGACTAATAAATAATCGATATTAAATCGATTAATATATAGCAGAGTTAATTTAATTGTTACACAAATGTATTAACTATAGACGATGGAATAATTTTAAACGAAGTCAGCATTAACTATTAATTTAGACCTTAAATTGCAGTGGATAAGGACTGATCTGTGATTTCACAAATTGTTTACCTTGTGTCTGTTTTTAATTATCACAGGTATATGTTTGCGGCTTGGTCTTAATTAATTAATTTCATAATAAGTAGCGTTTTGCCTTTAATACTTTGTAATTTTTGTATGCATTTTACCACGTATTTTAGTGGTGTTTTTTGGTACTAAAATAAAGTATTTTGAAGAGTATTTTTTTTGTAATAATTTTTGCAAAAATTGAAATAATTGTAGATTGAGATACAGTTTCAATGTTTTGTATTTTTTCGTAACGACTGAAGTAGTGAAAAGGCTGCAAATAAATGATTCCGTAAACAATTTTTTTTGATAGTCTTAATCTTACTATAGAGCTATATGTGTTTGTATTATCTATGTACGTAGTATTTAGATACTGTATTTAATGCGTTCGATTTGACACCGTACCCGGTGTTGCCAACACACAAAAACAAACCTAACATATCCCCGTTAGGGTATACATATTTAATTATTCCGATAGAGGCACCCGTCACGTGCGGACGTGCTCATCTTCCACTCGATCGCCCGGTCTTTGTTCGCCCGGCTTTTGTTAGCCCGGCCATTGTTCGCGCGGCCTGTGTTTGTGGTACATCTGCCGACTAAGTGCTCTTTCTGGAAGTTTTTATTTGTTTTGTTTCCTTTTGTTGTTTCTGTGTTCGTGGTACATCTGCCGACAAAGTGGTTTCCTGCAAGTATTTATTTGTTTTGTTTCTTTTCGTAATTTCTGTTTTGTTGTGCTTTTTCTTTGTCCTGTAGTAATCGCGCCGCATTGCCACCTGTGTTCAATAGAACCGCTCAGGTCCGAGAAGTTGGGGCCTCGCCGCAAGGCGAGTGTTTTCAAGACCCGGGGCCGCCCCACCTGGGTACTCAGCGATCATGGACGCTGTATTCGCGGAATTCCTCCGACTTCGCCACCCACAGCTCGCCTCGGAGTTTTTGGCCTTCAAGGCCAATCACACTGCGAGCCCTCTCGAGGACTCCGCCGCGCTCGCTGCTCCTGCGTCGCCTGTACCTGCGTGCAGAGCTTCTGCATTGAGCACCGCAGCCTCTGTCGTGCCTGCCGCTCCCGTGTCGCCTATACTGGCGAGAAAAGCTGCTGCGTCGTCCGCCGTGACCATCGTTTCAGCTGAGCGATCATCCGCGGCCTCCGTCGCGCCCTCTAAAACACCTACACTTGCTCGTAGGTCNCATTAACTATTAATTTAGACCTTAAATTGCAGGGGATAAGGACTGATCTGTGATTTCACAAATTGTTTATCTTGTGTCTCTTTTTTTAATTATCACAGGTATATGTTTGCGGCTTGGTCTTAATTAATTAATTTCATAATGAGTAGCGTTTTGCCTTTAATACTTTGTAATTTTTGTATGCATTTTACCACGTATTTTAGTGGTGTTTTTTGGTACTAAAATAAAGTATTTTGAAGAGTTTTTTTTTTTTGTAATAATTTTTGCAAAAATTGAAATAATTGTAGATTGAGATACAGTTTCAATGTTTTGTATTTTTTCGTAACGACTGAAGTAGTGAAAAGGCTGCAAATAAATGATTCCGTAAACAATTTTTTTTGATAGTCTTAATCTTACTATAGAGCTATATGTGTTTGTATTATCTATGTACGTAGTATTTAGATACTGTATTTAATGCGTTCGATTTGACACCGTACCCGGTGTTGCCAACACACAAAAACAAACCTAACATATCCCCGTTAGGGTATACATATTTAATTCAAATTTGACAAATAAACCAAATTTAGACGTTCTTGGTAAATATTTGAGTCTGAGGCATTAAAAAAAAAAGTTTTGTTTAAAAAATCACCGAAACGCATTGGTATTTTAGATCTGATTCGATCTAAAAGGGAATTGAAATGTTATACAATTTTTTCGTAAACATAATTGTGTAGGAATTGACATAAACCCAGCAAATAGGTAAACAATAAAAAAAAGGCTATTTTTTCAATATTGAGTTACTATATAGGCAGAAGTGAAAACTTAATGCCTGCCATTGAATCTTAACAAATATATGAAAGTCAAATAATAATTAATTATCATGGATATTGGGACTTTAGTTACTAAAGTTGAGTGTAACTAATTTTATTTTAATTACATAGACGGGCTATCGAACTCACAGCCTATACCCTATTAAGTGACCACTCACATTTGGTCCAGTTCTCAATTGCGTAGGACATAGGCTAGCCCACCATGTAAACTGGGAGTCTTCAAAACCTTTAAATGGACAAATTTTCAAATTGAGATTTGTCATGTGTCAGTGCGAATTTCAATCTTTGAATTATGTAACAGTTTTCTGAAAATTGATAAATTTTAACATGAAATATCTCCAATAAGTTTTTATTTATTAAATACAAGTAAGTAATTCTCGAAATAATATATAATAATTTTTTATTATTTTCATCACCTACTGTGTAAATATAATTTTGAATTTTGCCAAAATTCGCGTTACCGATCCAGTTTTGTTTTAATATATGAATAAATACGATGAAATAAAATGATTGTAATCGTGTATTCCTACGAGTGTTTGTAATTTGTAAAATGTTTATGATTTTGTTCAGTATTGCTTAAGCGCATAGATATATTAATGTAATAGTAATGGTCTAGACACTATTTAAATAAAATTCATTGAAGTGAAGAACATTGGTTTCATTTGACGCTCTCGAAAAAGGAGAGCTTAGTAAAGTTTTCCTTGACCACACAGAAATTCACGACAAAGCGTACGGTGGTGATAATAATATGTTGCAGAATCAAACGGATTTAAGGTGTGATTTTGAACTCGACTGCAGCGACAGGTTTACTTTGAAACTCAACTCTATGAAAAAAAAAAAAATTCCATAATCAATTAATTGGTCAGATTTTTTGGAACGAAGTTCCTTATGGGACGATGCGGAGGGGTACCCTAACCGGGAAAAAACGTCCGTAACGTAAGATTTTTATTAGTAATGCACACAGTGTACGACTTAACTTTGTAATAACGTACAAATTAGTAATGCACACAGTGTACGACTTAACTTTGTAATAACGTACAAATTAGTAATGCACACAGTGTACGACTTAACTTTGTAATACCGTACACAAAATAACATTTTTTTTATCAATAAAAAAATCACAACACAAAATGTATACCCGAATAATTATTTTCTTTATACCTCGAATAGAACTTAAAATGAATATTTTTATAATAAGGAATTTCGATCCTATCCGGTGTCGCCCGACACCACAGATTTTTATTTAATAAAATCAGATAACGCTTATCATTTTCACCTCTGTTTATTTAAAACATATTTTTCATATATTTTTCCCTGAAGTGATTAACAGCGATCTTTAGTGTAACAATATTTTCTTATTTATTGTCAATTATAAATGAAACGAAAAAAAATGTAATACATGAAATTAATATAAATATTTAGTGAGTAAGTCGAATTTCGATCATTTGACGAACAATAGATAATTTTTACGGTATGTATATAGAAAATCATTTCTAACAATTCCTTTCCAAGGTTTTTCTCAACGTACAAAACACAAATAGAACTAAAATCCGTCCGTATCTCTAAAGGCCCTAAACGTTATTGACTAATTCAGAAACCGTCCACGAAGTGTTTGAACAACAGATCTGTTTTTTAATCAAATAATTAATTTCATATCAATACGTGTTACAATTAATTAATTAGAATTCCATTGAAATCACAAACGACCTACTAATACAGTTCTGTACAATTAACATAATACTGTTTGTACTAGTCAGTAATTCGAGTTACTCAATGGACGAATTCAATTAGCGTTCACGTATTAATTAAATTTAATGCAAATTGAACGAACTGGGAATAATTATGGCCGCTAATTTATACTAGGGGTTAAAGCATGAAATTGCCGATTTTTACTGATTTGAAATTGAATTTCGTTTTTTATTTCATTTAACATAATAATATAATAATAATATAACTCTTTATTTATATAACACCTTAATATGTACACAGTAAAGTAATAAAACAAAAGTCGGTATATAAATCGGCGGCCTTATCGCTGAAAGCGATCTCTTCCAGGCAACCTTGCAGGGAGAGGAATAAGTTAACTGGACTAATATTTATTTAATCAAAATATCTACCATTATTATCTATACTAGGCTGCACTAAAAGTATCGGGAATGGAATATTTCCACTGTTCCTGTCATATTAAAATATTTTTAATTGAAAACTCCTTGGTTTTAAAAATCGAATACCATTTATTTATTTAAAAAAAGATTCTCGGTCTTGTCACGAGGTTTTGTCAAACTTGTTTAGTCGTTGAGAAAATGGAATTGACTCGAGAAAATTCAAGAGCGATGATTTATTATGACTTTCGAAGTGGTTTAACACAAAAACAGTGTGTTGACCGGATGATTTCTGCATTTGGTGATGAAGCCCCATCCAAAACCACAATTTATCGCTGGTTTGCTGAGTTTCAACGTGGACGTGTCAAGCTCAGTGATGATCCCCGTCAAGGTCGTCCAAAAACTGCAGTCACCCAAGAAAACGTTGATGCTGTGCGTAAGCTGATTGAGGAAGATCGACATGTGACATACCGCGAAATTCAGGCAACTTTAGACATTGGCATGAGTCAAATACAAATAATCTTGCATGAACAATTAGGTGTAAAAAAGTTGTTTTCCCGATGGATACCGCATTCGCTCTGTGAAGAGCAAAAAGCGGCTCGCGTTACTTGGTGCGTCAGAACTCTCGAAAGATTCCACGCAGGATCCTCAAATGCTGTATACAACATTGTATCAGGTGACGAATCCTGGATATACGCGTACGAACCCGAAACAAAAAACCAGTCACGAGTTTGGGTGTTCGAAAATGAGTTAAAGCCAACAAAAATTGTTCGTTCACGGAGTGTTGCAAAAAAAATGGTGGCCACGTTTGTCTCCAAAACCGGCCATGTTACGACTATTCCTCTTGAGGGACAAAGAACGGTTAATGCAGAATGGTATGCTAGCATTTGTTTGCCACAGGTCGTTTCTGAACTCCGTAAAGAGAACTGCAACCGCCGCATCATCCTCCATCACGACAATGCGAGTTCTCACACCGCGCCCAGAACAAAAGAGTTTTTAGAGCAAGAAAACATAGAATTATTAGACTATCCGCCGTACAGCCCCGACCTAAGCCCTAATGATTTCTATACTTTCCTTAAAATAAAGAATAAATTGCGTGGACAGAGATTTTCATCACCCGAAGAAGCTGTGGACGCCTACAAAACGGCCATTTTGGAGACCCCAACTTCCGAATGGAATGGTTGCTTCAATGATTTGTTCCATCGTATGGAAAAATGTGTCAAATTTCGCGGAGAATACTTCGAAAAGCAATAAATACATTTTTAAATAGTAATGTTGTGTCACTTCGTTAATTCCCGAAATTTTCAGTGCCGCCCTCGTACATTGCTGTCACCTAATAGGAAAGTCATTTATGCCTTT